CTCCTAACTACCTAACATTCGATTGTATTCTCTACCCTGTAAACAACGCAAAAACAGGCCGTTAGTACGTCAAATCTCTTAATGGCCTTGTTGAACTCGGCAGACTACATGATCAATTATGCTCAGAAAATATGATTTTTGATATAAATTCGTTACAAATTCTTAGGATTTTAGTTTATCTATATATCTTTACGGATAGATAATAATTAATCCGTTTCCGAAATATCACAAAAGATTTCATATTATCTGAGGACTTTTACAGATATAACTTTGATTTGTGGTATACGTATGTTTTAGCAAAGTATCTGTAAGTTATCCAAAATTTGAAGCCAATCGCAAATAAAACACGAAAGTTACTTGAGACTCGGCATACGTGATTTCTGAAAACTGGGTATCTTAGAGTCGAGCAGTCGCTTCAACCGGAGCCTCGCCCGTTTCTTAATTTTTTCATCATCGCCTGAGCTCAACCTGTTTTCGTTGAGCATTTCGAGTTGAGTAAAAGGTTTCCTGAAAGGATTTTGGGAAACCCAAGACATCTTCTCAATGCTCCAACGTGTGTTTTTTATGCCGTTTCTCACCAAAAATCAGAGTCATAAATGCATTTTATTATTATTTATACAGTCGTGGCAAGTCGAGAAAACGTTGCCCCTGGGGCATTGAAATCGTTTTATTATGCATCCAAAGAAGTACAGAGTCGTTGTTTTTTGTCTTTCATGTTGGGGTAGGTGCATGGCCAGAGTCTGCCTTCGGCTAATGCAGCTGATAGACTAGGCAAACAGACAGGCCAAAGATACAAAGATACACAGGAGCATAGATACAGATACAGTCTGAAGTTTTGGGGCACACACAAACAAAATGCTGACCTATGTTACCTTTTAAGAATTTTGTCGCTTGACTTCGTTTGTTTGTTTTTGCTGCAAATGCATTTCCATAAATATTTATAATTTTATTTTCTCTATTTTTTTTTCCTGGTGCGAGCGCTGATAAAACTAGTTTTCCATGCACCCCCTGCTGCTGCTGCTCCTGCTGCTGCTGCTGCTGCTGCAATCATGCTGCGTTCTTTCCACGCGTTTACCAGGAAAACACGCCAGCAAGTAGGACGTTCCCAGTCCGATAACCTCGCCCTTTCTCTCTCTCGCTCTGTGTGTGTTTATCTAGTAGGTTGTTCCAATAAAATGAAATGAGTTGTCATTTCGGCCTGGCCCTGAAACCTGGTTATCTCGCTGGCACAAGTGTGCGGCCCTTGATTGATGATGATTGTCATTGCGCTCCGGCAAGTAGCACAGTAGCCAAAAGGATTTTCTATGCAACGGTAGCCAGTTTAAATATTTGCATACACATATTTAGCCTTTTTATTTTCGTATTTGCATTGCATTTGAAAACCCATCAATATGGCTCATCTAACCATTTATTAAAGCTGATCTTAACTGTCAAACAAAACTCTGGCACTGACCGCAGCAATTTGTCCGAAGGTGAAAAACCCCAAGATAAGCCACAAGTCATTTGTAAATGTCCTGAGACTGTAAATTGTTTTTCATATTAATGATTGGTCATTTACCGAGGGTTCAGCAACTAGAAATCTCAGCGATCATACGAAAGAGATTCCGAGTTGAAGGAAATCACACAATTCAAACAGAAAGAAGAAGAACTTGATATGCAGGGAGCGTGCTGGGACTTAGATAAATGTATGTAGATCTTAGAGGATTCATCTTATGGTTAGGTTTGATTAAAATGCTTGAGGATAGTTGGAGCCTGTATCTGAGCTCCCTCAGGAGTATTTGAAGAGCGCTCTATATATAGAAGGCATAGTTTCATCTTATGAGATAACCTTAAGAAGATTGAATAAAAAAATCCGTCTTAAATCAAACCATGAACGGAATTCATCAAGCATATAGAAATCTATCAAGCAATTCAAGTAGAACACACAAATTGGAAATTATGCCTAGATAAATGTAGTCCTGAGGGGTTTGATTAGTTAGAGGATTGAATATTTGCAGATAATACTAGTCTGAGAGACAAGGAGAAATAAAATAATTTAAAATAATCTATTGCAAAATAAATCTTAAGCGAAATTTGACAATTATACAAATATCTATCGAACTATTCAAGCAGTATGCACAAGTTGGGAATTATAAAACTAAATGTATGCAGCTGACTCTCTCGCTGATATCAACTTTCTCTGGCTAAAACTATAAACTAATCTAATCTGATCCGTTAATGGAAAATATTCCATTTTCTGTTTTCTTATACAGAAAAGCACCTCAATTGCAGTTCACTTATCAACAAAAACAATTTTCCCATAGACTGTTAGACTTCATTACACCCCATCGGAAACACTTCCGCTGCATTATGCGAATAAGTTTGTGGCGAAACCCTTGAAACGTGAAAAAAAAAAATATCCTTAACCATAGCGCACCTGCCCCCGAGTATCTCAGTTGAAATTGAGCTTGCGGTCACAGTTCGTGAGCTAAACAATTTTATGGCAATTTCCTTACGGAACAGAGTGCTATATATAGAAATATATCTTATGGCATTTTGGAACGTTACTTCGACAGTCACGCTGCCTGAACACTACGGTGGGCATAGAAAACCTCCCGCTAGGCCGTCGTGGAACACGTGGCATATAAGTACTAAGTCAAGTTTTTAGTGGTATTCTATCTTGCCCCGGGTGCAGGGGGTGGGGTGTCTGTTGATTTTATGTTCCGCTCGGCGCGATAAGGCGTGCTGCATTTGAAATGAGTGTAACGTATATTTTATGCAGTGTCCGTTGAGGTTTTCCAATGAGATAATAATATTCCGACAATGGCGACCTTCAACTTGGGCATTGTTTGAGCCTCTTATCGAGCCATGGAGCAATAAAAGTCCATATTATCCGAGTGCATGCTCTATAAGACTAAGAAGCATTTGATTAAATCCAATTAATTGTCGAATATTCTGACTAAGTTTCTAATACATTCTGTTAGTCAACCAGCATTAAGGGACAATTTCACTGTGTATAAACAAATGTGCATCTAATACCCGCACGTTCCAATGTTGGACAATCCTTTAATGGGCTGCCCTTATAAAGGATTATAAGCACCACTTGAAGTACAGCCCATTGTTGTGCTACCTCTTTTATATTTTCCTTCACAATTCGACGCCTTTTTTCCGTGTGTTTACACAGCAAAATGCAACCCATATATATTTTCAGTACATCCTGTAAAGACATCGTCAACTTGAGGAAATTACTTAAAAGGATCACGAACTCTCGCCAACCATCGGCCCCCTTTACTACTTGAGTTGTTTATGTTTCAGGCATGACTGCCGCAACTCAACGCCGGCAGAATTTTTCCAAATTTGTTAAAAAGTGTGTAAATTTACGTTCCTATATATTTCTTCTGCTATTTTTTTTTTTTTGTGTTTTCTTCGGTTTTTAGGAGGGTGTGTCCCATAAACAGAACTCTGCGGTGTGTCTGCTTAGCACTTGGTAGGAATAGGGAGGCGAGTCAAGGCTCGATCTTGGCTGCCTAATCGATCGATAGATCGTTGCGTTGCTGCCTTTTTGGGGTGAATGCACGCGAGGCAGAGTTTTAATTACAGTGAGTATTTTTTTTGAAAAAAAAAACCAAACGTTTTTTTTTTTTTATTCGACTTTTTGTGTGCAGTGCAAAGGTACAAAGCAAATGATGTCTTTAGTTCCGAACCGGGTTGACTTTTTCCTTTTCTACTATTTTTCTCGCTTTTTGTGCACTTTAATTGCATTTGTGCAAACAATATAAATCGTTTTTTATTGCCCTGGCAATGTAATTTAATTTTTTACGATTTTGCACTTAAATAGCAAAGCTTGGGAAATTTTTGTAGATTTTTTTTTTTTTTTTGAAATATGCTCTCTAAATAACGGCTGCGTGTCGAACATAGCGGTAGATTATCTTTACACCCTATTTCGTATGTTCTAATGCACTTTTCAAAAAGTTGCCCCACATTTTCATTTCATGGCCCCAAGTTACAATAGGAAAGTGAAACTGTTGGAAACCGTCTGCGCTGCCGCCCTAAATCCAATTTGTCTGACTCTCAGACTCGGCAACAAAAATACAAAAACAAAAATCCAGTTTCAGGTTAAACAAACCGAAGCCAAAACATTTTTATCTACCCATCGCATTCAAACCAAAAGTACAGCTCCAACTCGCGCAGCAACAACAAGCAGAGACGCTTGGATTTTAACGCAAGCCGAATAGTGCATGTCCTTAAATATAGTTTTTTACATGAGCAATTCGATAATTTAACTTTCAGAGGTACTTCACATTTTGCCAGCTATTAAAATAATAAAAGCGCGCTGTTGATTAATTTTGGCTAAGTTCGAAATGAGCTATATTATCTAAAATTTCAGGCCGCATGGACAAATCTATATGCTCAGTTTTGAATAGAGCATTTGAGAAAAACAAGGCGCTGCTTCGATCGTTTTGAATTCGAGGGTTGCTGTTGTGTCGTCACTGCAGTACGTCGTCGTATGGCAACGCTGCGGTGGTTGTTTGACGTTTTGTTTTGTGGTTGTTCTTACTCTCACTGCCTCTCAGTTGCTCTCCGACTCATTGCACGAAAAACTTGATTTGAGTGCAGTGTTGACTGTTTGTTCTTATTTTCAACAGATCTAGCCAAAAATTGGCCAAGTCAAGAACTTTAGCTTATTGTGGCGACCTTTGAATAGTTCTCTATATATTAAAATTTCAAAACTAATATTATAATCTACAGCATATAGTTAAAATTAGTAGGATTTTATGAAATTAATAGCTGTTAAATACATACGCGTCTTTGTTTAACATTTAACAGCCGTTTCCCTCTGTTTCTAGCCGTGCCCAGTACAACACCGCACGCTTAGCTAGTCTTAGCCGTTTTTTCGTTATCGCATGGCAACCGAGGGCGTGCAGCACTGTCTGCGAGCGACACCAAGAGAGTAACTTGCCCGCTCTCTGAGCGCAAAGATATCCGCGTATAAATATCATTTTTACCCGTTTGCTTACGTTCAGTTTTGTTATTCTGCTCGTTGAGCTCAGTCGAAAAGTGCGTTCGCATTGCGCACTTCAAGGCAAACTAACAAAATATTCACTAAAAAGCATAAATTAAAATAATGCGAATAGTTAAATATATAAAAGAACTTACAACTTAAGTTGTAAACGCAATAGTACACTGAACACGACGTGCAAAACACAAAACGAACGCGCCTTTCGCAATTGTCTCAATTTGTGAGTGCCCGACTCGTCAGATTTTTGTGATTTGAGTGAGTTGGTTTTTTTGCGTGACCAATAAGAACAGCGATAAAGGCGTTTGCAAGTGCATAAAAAACAATACACAACGAATTTGTTTATATCATATTTCTAAACAAATACACGTCAAATACAACAAATACGAATTTCACTTTTAAAGCGAGTGTATAAGAAAATACAAAAAGACTGCAACAACACTGCGCCCCACTCACGCACACCTCAGCGCACCAACACAAGTAAACATTTACGCTCAGACACGCATACACAGGCGCAACTGAAACGAGATTTGGAGACTTGTGTCTGGTGGTATGTGTGTGCATGTTTGTGTGTAAGCGTGTATTAGTGAGTTCGCCCCTCTTTAACGCTGGGCAGCGACTACGTACAGGCGAGCGCAAAAACCAACACTTTTGGCGCCAAAACTTTGACAGTTCGCTTAGTCGTGTAATTCGCAAACAAGTGTCCAAAGTGTAGGCAGCAAAACTGCGTCGCATCGCAGTCCAAACACACAGAAAACAAAAATAGAAACGAAACAAACAAATTTTAAATAAAACAACCAACCAAAACAACAACAAAAACATGGTCAGTGCACGCATGCTCCATCCGGTGGTGCGCAGTGAATTCTGCAAGATGAGCGTCAGTCGCAATTCACCCTGCGGCCCACAATTGGAACGCATTAAGCGAAATCTCTTCGGTGCAGCGCAGACGCCGCTGGTGGAAACCAAACCGTGAGTACAAATTCAATCATGCTCATTTTTAGTTAAATTGTCAAAATATTAAACAGTGTATTTCTCATCTGCAGCTCCTTTAGCGCAGAGCTGGAACGCCATCAAGAGTTGGCCACAAAGAAATGGGGCTTTGATTTTCGTAGCGATCGCCCGCTGGCCACCAATGCCAGCTACATCTGGGAGCGCGTCAGCACACAGGAATCGGACTATGCGCCGCAAATGTACACGCTCACCCGTGCCGCGCATGTGCGTCCCGATGCCTATGACTCGGCCAGCGACATGGATGCGCTGCTGAATGAGCGCGCCGATCGCGAGAATTTGGTCAACTCTTCGCTGGACTCCAATACGGACACTGAGTATGACTCACAGGATGAGTCGCTGCCATATCGCTTCACCAGCAGCAGCAACAGCAGCGGCAACGTGGTCGCCTCCACTTCGGCCGCCGCTTTGACCGCCTCCTCCTCGTCCTCCGCCACCAGCAACTCGCCCGCGCAGCAACGCAAACGACAGCTCAAAATCACAGGTGAGTTGCGTGTTACCCATTTTAGTTTTCCTCCTGCCGTTTCCGTAGCGTGTTCATTCCCAGCGTTATGCCTGATTGCACAAAAACCGTTTCGACCATTACAAAACCTATTTCCCATAACCCACAAATTTCGCTTTATTTAACTGTTTAGTGGGCACCAATCCAACCCTAGTCTCAAGCTCTTTTAAGATACTTCTAAAAAAAACTAATTTTCCCAACATTTTAAGTACTTAAAATTCAGCCCAGTATTTGGAAATATTAATTCATTTGAAATTTTTTGATAATATTTCTTTCAATATTTCGAATTCTTACACATAAACTTTATATAAATTTGTGGTTTAGTTCTTAATTCCGGAAGTTATTTATTAAAACTTTATCAATGCTTAAATATCAATTCAGCTCTCAGAAGCATTCCAGGCTCTATTCTCTTTTCCGACAAAATGGAATTGATTCCCATGGGCGCAGCCTTTTCTTTAACTGCCGCGTGGGCGTTGTTTCTTGTTCTCGATAAACCATAATAACAGGCTCTACCAAATGTTGCTAGGCATATAATTAGTTTTGTTTTATGTGATTTAGTCAAGGGGTTACGTTATAGAGGGCCGATCGTTGCAGCTGTTTTTTTTTTTTCATCACTCAGCGCTCCCCCTCCCCTTGCCGCTGGCTTAGAGTCAATGCACGCAACATCCATCCCTGCGTCTCTGCGCCTGCGTCGCGGGGGTTGATTTCCAAATGCGATCATTGCATGCGGGTTGCTGTAAATGTTAACAGATGTGCATGGCTCTGCTTTTGGGCAGCCCTCCACGCCTTCGGTTGACCTCATTAGAGACAGCGACAAGAAGGCAGAGTGAGATGGAGCGATACAGAGAGGGGGAGCAGCAGTGCACAATGTGCCGCCATCAAAGCGCAGCACTTATCAACGGCCGCTGATTGCTTTTGTATAATACATTTTTTTCTCTTGCCACTTGGCATAGTTATTAGCATAATAAAAAAATAAAAACTGTAGAGAAGTGTCTGTGCTGGACAGCCCGCATGGGCCATGGCGCAGCCTTGTTGGACTAGCTGTACTTTTGTGCAGCCAAGCCTAGAAACTTGCCCAGTTGGCAGGGCGTGTAATTTATGCAGCCTATGCAAGATCCATGCAGCGTTCACTACCTGAGCAGCAGGCAGCGTCTCTCGTTTTCATTCACTATTTGCTACCCCCGTGTGGCAGCAACCCCTGGCCGGCCAGCCACGTGCCACAATTCAAAATCAAAATGTGCAAAAACAGGCGGCGCCTGCTGTTATTATGCCCTTAGACAATTATATCAATGACTGATGCTCAAACTGGGGGTAGCTCGTATGCCAGCTGACTTTAATCCGGACAGACAGAATTATTTGTATTTATTTAATTACTCATGTGTTTTCTGGTTCCTTCTCTTCTTGCAGAGTTCATGAAGGAGCGCAAGCGTCTGGCCCAGGCGCCCAAAAAAATCTCACCCGCCAAACGTCTGCGCACCAGCTCCGGCAGCGGCAGCAGCAACGCCAGCTCCAGTTCGAGTACAGCTCTATTTGGTTGCCAGCTGAAGCGTACGCGTCACAATTAAACTCAGACGGCTGATGTGCGCCGCATCCCAGCGAAAGTAGTTGCAACCTACTCGCCACCAAAAAGAAAAAAAAAAAAAAAAAAACGAAAGCGAGAAAACTCAATTTGCAATTTGTATTTGTAATATTAATTTTTAATTTTTTATAACACTGCAAACAAAATACGTAATTTTTTGTACACACTTCGATGGCTAACATTTTAAGTAGCTTTCACATTACATTTTTTATACAAATTAAGTACTCATTTTTGTGCAGTGCAAGGGCGTAAGTTGCGAATATTAACAAATAGTTTAACTAGTTTAAATGCCAGTTACTACAACCAGTACTAGTACTAGAACAAAATAGCGACTAAGCATTTAAGTATCGAGCTATATGAAACTTTTTAGATTTCTCTAGTGAGAAATGCCATAAACTAAGTGATTAGTTCTTAACAACAACAAAACAGAAACAACAAACAACAACAACCACACGAAACAACGTAAAATTAATTGTTAAAAGAATAACAACAACAAATTATCTAGAGACACCTTCAATGAAATCCATCTTTAACCATGAAATTTAAAAGCTACTAACGAAATATTTGTAAATTCTAAATTGATAAATTTTACCAGCAACTTTGTGGTTGCTTGTAAAATTTACCATGCAAAACTTAATGTCGCTCTGCTTTACAAAAATTTTACATGTACACATTTATTTGTTTATACACATATTTATTTTTGTCGAAAAGCAGAGTCATATTGACTTTTTTTTCTCAAAACAGACCCTAAAACAAACAATTATAGGCCTACAATTTTACAGTCAGGCTTATGCTTGTTTTTGTTTTTGCGGCTGTAACTAAAGTCCTTAATTCGACCAGTGTTATAACCCATAAATTAAGCTTAAATCCGTTGCCAATTTGTGCGCTTTTGCAAATATATATTACCATATGTTGATGTATTTGTAAAACCACATAAATTGCCAATTTGTAAACTCTCAACTGTATAAAATTAATTTCCATCCGTTGCCAAATTGTTTGGCAAATGATGAAAGAGATTTTGCTTAACTATCATGTACAAATGCTATTATTGATAAACATTTATATATATAAACTATTATATATTTAGGCAGAGCCTATATTATTAAATAACATTTTCACAGATCATCCTAATTCATAAGCCTAGCATAGAACAAAATCCAAAGTATTCACTTAATATTTATATTTAATTCATATTGTGTGTATAATCAAACTCATACTTCAATAAAAAGCAAAAAACTAGCAAACAAAATGCAAAACATAAAAACATAAAAACAAAAAACAAAAAAACAAATCATAACAAACTACTCGTTAATGCTGTACCATCTCAAATGGGTACTCTATCGACACGAGTAGATCCATTCAGTTATATGTTGTTGTTTTCATTTGTAGACTTGTATTTGTTTATACCTAGCATAACATTATAGTTTTGTAAGTCTATTAAGTTGACTTTTGTTTTCAATAAAATTTTGTTTTTCTTTTTGTAGTAGCCTAATTTCTAATATATATATATTATTATTGTCATGTAAATTGCCGGAAACTGTTCTATATGAACTGGTTTGCTTTTCAAGATGTTGATATTTCTGATGTTGATATTTGTTACAGTTGCTTTCCTTTGCTGTGGTTAAGTCGAAGTCCTCGTGATCTTGTGATTATGGACATGCCATGAATCAGCCATAATATTTATTGTATTGGGAACATTAACATTTGAAAAGGAATATTTTAGAACGCAGTTACTGCGTTTACAAGCTATCTAAAAGAAAGTTAATGCTATGGAGCAGATAACTAATAACAGTTTATTAATATCACTTTAATTTCTCGATACTAATTTCGGTCTAATCATCATGGTAACAGATTTGAATGAATACTCCCAGTCGTGCCAGTCTGAGCCAGCCCACAGTATGCCTTTATCCGCACGGTAATCAGTTACACTTTGCTTCACATACACTCCGTTGAGATCACTAAAATTGTACAAGGTAATACTTGAACCATATAGTTCTCTTTTCGTAATACTCGTACCCACCTGGCACCACAAGCGCGATACCACCAGGCGCTGTGCATGTCTGCAGCGCAATTGTCCTCATCGTAGTCATTATCACGATCGTATGTGCTGAATTTTTGTTGCAGATTGTAGATCAAAGCATTGCCCGCATTACCTGAGTAATTGCCCAGAGATTTCAGTTCGTATAGCTCTTGAGCGTTGCCCACTAAAAATTGATTATATTCGGCAAAGCGGGTTTCGTTCGCAAAATCCGTCAGTCTGATATGCAGCTCATGCTCCTTGGCGCTCGTCAACTGGTGCAGCGTCTCCAAGCCTATGAAGAACTCGTCTTGGTTATTGCCAAAACCAATTTGATAATCGCTCCAGTTGCGATAAAAATTAACGCTGCCGTCTATGCGTCGCTGTATAACAGTCCAGCCGGCGTCCGCCTGTGATTCGTCTTGACTGGGACTAGCTTCCACTTGTTGTGTGCGCTTGGCCACGGCCAAACAGTTCCTGGGTGCGCACTGCTTTAGTTGTTCCATGCTGGACTGTTCGGCATTTAATTTAGATCTTAGCTCAGCTATTTGTGCGATCAGCTCATCTGTATAGCGCTTATTTTGATCGCACTCCCTTGCCAATGCGCTTTTGTCAGCTTGAAGTCTTAGTATGTCCGCCTCCTGCCGTTTCATGACATCCTTTTGCCTCTCCAGATGATATGAAAGTCTACGTATAAGGGAACTTAATTGCCTGTTGTTGTTTTTGGGCGTGTTGCGAGCTGCACCAGCGCTGGAACTTTGAGTTGTAGATTTGTTTTCTATATCCGACTGAATTGCTTGAGTCTGGTTATTGATATTCGATTTGTCGTCTGTGCTCTGCTGCGGCTGTACTATGGACTAGAAATTAGAATTTTTATCTTTGATAAATCCATTTGCTTAGATTTTGTATATATTATATGCAAACATACAGGCCCTTTCACAGCTAGCAGAAACACCAACAAAACTATCAAATTGTGTGTGCGATACGCCATGATTGGCAGAAGTTAGATTTTTTGAGCGACCGCTTAAAGCTAAGTCCAAAGCGCAACTAAATCTCATTTATTTTTTTTTTAATATGAAAAGTAACGAATAATTTGTGTTGTTATGTTAATAAGCGTTAGCTATTGCGAATCAAACTGATAAGCGCTTGACTTGCCATAGCTGGCAAAATATTTCTAATATTATCGGGTTGATATTTTATTGTGCACACAACGGAATTAAAATTCCATTTTTTATTCTTGAAAATAGAGATAAACTCTTGAAAAAGAAGAAGAAGGAGAAGCAGTTCGTAATTGGTCTAACTCGGACTTATGAAATGCTGACAGCGCAAAGAAATATCTATGGAGATATAAGGCTCAGAGACTATTTTGGATAAAAAGGCAGCTGGGTAGACGAAAACAATTTCGACCGTTTAATCATATTAATTCTCGAGAAATTTAAAATTTCAATTAATTTAAGATAATGTTTGGTCAGAGTTTAGTCTATAGCATTTGCTGAATTACGAAATTCCGAACGTCTGTTTGTTTAAGTTTTATGTTTCAAGTCCGAGGCATAAGAACTTTTTATGAAACTATATATAATTATAACTAATTTTTCTTCCACTTTTCTAAGAGTTTTATTTAATCTATAATCCACTAAATCCACCGACAAGCAAAGCTTTTAAATTCTTGGAGGTATTATATTACATTAATTCAAATAAATTCTTTAATTTATTTACTATTCAAACTATTTTAGTTTGGCAGCATCCACATTTCGATTCGGTCACTTTCTGTTTTTTTTTTTTTTTCATTTAATTTTTTATTTTCAATAAATTAATATCATTTTTTACTTACGACAAATACATAAATAATTTGATTCATTTGCAAACATAGAAATTGACTAAATTGTAACTGCGATTAACTAAGTTTGATTTGATTTTTTTTTTTTAGTTTTTTAGTTCTTTCCTGCTTGTAGTATGTATAGTACATGAATAAGTAATGAAAAATTATATACAGTATTCGTATGGTACTGGATGGACACTATTTCCCCGTTGCCTTCTCCTCCAGCTGAGCCTGTATGTGCCGGACATTCTGACCGCCGCTGCTGTGACCGTGGCGCTGGAAGAAGGCATTGATGGAGCTCATGGAGCGGTATTCGAGATTATCGCTGACATGCCAATCGACGCTGATACTCTGATGTCTGCCCACGGGATTGCGTATCTTTGTCTCATTGTATTTCTCTAGCAGATGCAGCAGGCAATCCTTTGTCGTATTGGCCGCCTCCTCCAGATTAACCGTTTGATGCGTATCCGGCAGGCCAACGGGCACATCGCGACTCATCTGATTGATGCGGAACTTGGCACGTCGACTGCTCGCCGACTCCGAGAAGACATGGTTGCCGCTGTTGCTGCTGCTGGAGCTGAACTTGGAGCTGCTTGTACTGGTCCTTTGCACATGGCTCTTCGTATTGGCAGTGCTCATTGTGCTCACTGTGGACTGGCTGCGCAGCTGCTGCGACTGCTGCGACTTGGACCAGCTGTTGTCGCTCTTGCCATTGCTCAGCTTGGGCGTCTCCTCAATGGACTGTTGCAGGCGCACGGACAGGGAGCTTATCTTCTGGTGGCCATCATTGGAGCGCGTTTGAGTCTGTTGGCTGCTGCTGCTGCTGGCGCTGTGCAGCTGGCCACGCGGCGTTGCTCGGCTGGCGCTGGCGCTGTTGCGTGTGCTGCTTATCCATTTGTTGCCCTCCTGCGTAAAGCTGCTTTCCGTGGCCGCATTATTATTGCTATCGCCCAGCTTGGTATTGATCTCGGCGAGCATTAGCAGATGATCGGATAGCTTGCGTATTTCATCCGCCAGATTGACGCGCTCCCCGGAGCTGCGCCGGCCCAGCAGATAGGTCGTGTCCGAGTTGCGACGATCGAATGTGTGCAAATAGCTTTTCATGCTGCGCTGCTGCTGGGCGCTGCTTTCGCTGCCGGAGAACTCATCAAAGTTCTCATTGAACAGATGCTGCGGCGTGGGCGTGGCACAGCCCGAAGCACTGGCCGTCGTCGGGAACAACTTCTCGCGGGATTCGTTGATGGGCGTGGTTGCCACCGAATGGGGACTGTCCGCGCTGCGTCGCTCCTCCTCAAATGCCGCCGCCGCCTGCCTCTCATACTCCTGCTCATCGTCCGTCAGCGTTGCTATCGATTCACACGGCGAGGGCGAGCACACTGCAAAGGCACGTGAAAAGATTTGAGTTTCATGGAGCAGTTCACAATGGAGCATACATACAGATTAGGGTTGTTTCTGGGAGGGGTTAGGTTTTAATTGTAATTATCAAAGTGGTATCGGAAACATAGAGACACATATATACACAAGATTAGAGCATGCTTATGAGACGGACAGCCCAGTTGATTAGCGCCAACAGAGAAGTTAGTAATGGATCGTAACAGCTAGCCCTGACAGACAACATACTGTGCACAAAAAAACATACTAGTAGTGAAATTGAGCTCTTTTTTATGTTTTGAGTCATCAGTATTAAGAAATTATTCAATCTCCGAAATAGACAATTTTTATTCAATTAATATTTGAACTATATTTGTTGTGGTTCTTTGAATTTTATAATTTTTAGTAGTTGTAAGGAAATTCTTTAAGTTATTAAACATAATTAGTTGGAAGTTTCAATTGTTTAATAAATATTTTTATGCAGAATTTACATAGGTAATTGAAAAAGTAGGCTATGTACAATTAAATTACATTTAATATAACAAAATTAGAAATGTAATTTAATTATTTGTCATATTTTTATCAGAATTTGCAAAAGTATTTGTAAATATTATGCATAATTTACAATAAAAATACTTGTAATTTACCAAGAAAATTAAAATTTAATTTAAGTTTTTATCATTATTTTACCAGAAATGATTATGTTAAAGTAATCTATTATTTATTAAAGTAATTAAGAATTTAATCCATTTTTAATTACTTTTGGTCAGTAGGTTAACAACAATTTTTAATGACTGCGCTTGTTATTTAATTCAAAAATTTATAAAAATAATAATGCTACATTATGCTACAGATCTTGCTTTAATTTTGATTAAACTTTACCAAAATATTTAGAAAAGTAAAAAAGTAAAGTGAATAGTATTCGAATTGTAAGTAATGTTTTTAGAAAATTAAAAGAAAAAATAATACATTTTAATTTTTTTCGAAGATTTTTGTATAATTTCTTATTCGTAATGGATCACAACATAAATAAGCTTCATGTTTTATGAACGACATCCGTTGAGATGAAATGAAACTTCGACAAACTTTAGAATTTGGCTGCAGTTTTGATCGATATATTTTATCTTTATTTGATCGATAATGGAGCTTACCTTGTCCGGTAGTTTTGAAACTGTGGCTAGGTGTTGAGCTAAACTTGAACTAGGTTAGGATAATGTCTTATTTTGTTTTAAATTGTTTATCTTGGAATGTTTACGTTTGGATAGAGTTGTGACTAGTGTATTCGAAAAAAGGTTTGTAGTATTTGAATTTGAAGTAAGTATATTTTGGTATTACTCTTGTCATTGGCTGTCTTTATCACAGTGTCGAAACGTTAAGCAACTTATAAGTATAACTAGGCAATTTGGTTAATAGAGGTGGCATCCGCTATAAGGATGCGCTTAAAGCTACGGTTACTTAAAATATAAACCAACAACGTTTATGTAAATACTCAAAATTTGTTGTTGTTGTTGTTGTTGTTGGTGACATGCCTTCTTTCTTCCACACACAACATAATTACAATAGCTCATTTAAAGCTTATGTTAACACAAAACATTAATAGATTGAAAAATATAATATATATGAAGAGAAAGAATGAGAGAGCGCGTGAGAGTTAAAGCGGGCACTGAAGCGTGCCCTTCTTCGCGCTTCTCATTGAGCTAACTTGGTTTACATTCAAGTTAAGAGAGAACAACAATTAGTTGGTCGTTTTCTGTTTGTTTGTTTGTTTGTTTGTTGGTTTTCAAGTTAATTATGTAATTTACAAATTGGTTGTGATTTGCGTTCGCCCCCGCTCATTTGCCATGGATGAGCGCATGCCGGTCGCGCTGCCGCTGGGAGCCACCGTTGCGGCAGTACTCACCTCGGGAAGAGGAGATGCTGTCCTGGCCATGGGGTCGTCGCGGATGCGTGTAACTTGTCTCATTTAATGGCGCTATCACATTGCCCTCGACGTCAAAGACGTACGGGCTATTCGGATGCGTCTCCCAGCGCACTATGAAATTCTTTAAATTATCCTTCGTGGCATCTAGCTCTTTGTTCTGTTGGGAATTGGGCAGCACAGAATTTTATAATAGTTGTTGGTCTATTTTGCTAGCTTCTGCTTACCTCTAGCTCATGTGTGTTGCACAGCTGCGCCAGCTCTTCGCTATCCTCGTCCTGTTCCGTCGCCTCGTCCTCGTCATCATCCGCATCCTCAATTGTTTCCGTTGAATCCTCCGAAGACTCCGAGGCTAGCGGTGTGGGCGACTCTGACTTCAGGCGCGTCTTGCTGCTCACTGTGGCGCTCTTGGTTACTTTTGCTGTTCCAGCTGCTGTTGCTTGTTTTGTGGGCGTGGCAACGGGATGTTGTTGCAGCCATTTGTGCTTAACACAATCGGCGGCTGTCATGCGGGTGCTGTGGGGCATTTGGTTGATTAAAAGGGCTGCTAAGGCTCAGCAGGAGGGCTGCTGGCCCCGTTATGGCTAGACACTAATTAAGAAAACGCACCTCAAGTCCTTAACAAGGAGCTTCGCTATGAAATCCAGGCACTCCGGGGATATGCCATTAAAGCATTCATCCTCGAAATCGTATTTTGCAATGGTTACATTTGACATTGTTTCAATGTCGTTCTCGCCCATGAACGGCGACAGACCAGAAATGCTGTAGTTGTTGTTGTTGTTGTTTCACCATGTGTGTGTGTGTGTGTGTGTGTGGTAAAGTCAATAAACATGAAATGTAAAAGCAGCGCACACAAAATAAATAAATACATAAAAAAAACACACAGCAGCGTTTAATTAACTAAATTAAATTGGCGCCGAGCGAGTGCTGTTTAGTTTTTCCT